TTCTCCTCTCCAGGCTGAACAATCCCAGCTGTGCCAGCCTTTCCTCCCAGCAGAGCTGCTCCATCCCTCTGCTCATCCTGCTGCCTCCTCTGGGCTCTCTGCAGCAGCTCCAGCTCCTCCCCAAGCTGGGACAGGGCTGGGGCAGCTCTGCAGGTGGGGTCACACCTGAGAGAGGGGCACAGGGGCAGAACCCCCTCCCAAAATCTCCTGTAGCATTGCCTCCAAACAGCCCCAAAACTGCCTCTTTCCACAACACTGCTGGATGAACTTTCTAAAGTTAAATACATCTTTTTCTCCCTTTAGCAAATCTGATGCAATAGATTTTTTTGCAGCAAGTTCTGGGAAATGTTCTCACCTCAGTATTTTGCTAAACATGGGATTCAAACATGACCTATTTCAGGGTGTTTTAGAGACAGTGTGTTCTTGGGTCCCCTCTGAAACTTTCTGGTTACTCAGTATGCTACTGATTCAGTATCCTTTATTCTCACAGACCACAATATCCAGGAATATTTCCTTTCCACAAACATAAAACTTGCCTTTGGCTTTTTTTTCTGATTTTTTTCCCCCCATTCTATTTGAAAATTTGATTTTTTGGTGAGAGAGGTTGTAGAGAGCTTCTCTGCTCAACACCACTGAGGTCTTTGGGCAAGAAATTAAGTGCAGCAGAGGGATCTTGGAAAAGGTCCTTGAGCAGAGCCAGGCAATGCTGTTACTACCCAAAGTACCTCTCCTTTCTGCAAAAAAATAAACAGTAAAGAAGGTTAAATTTAGAAAACAGCAGTATATTCTAGCAACAAGAAGGGACGGGAGGGTGGAGAAGAGAGTTGTGTTTAAAACAGAAGGCAGCTGTCTTGTGAAATGCTTCTAGGATAGTTAAATTTATCCCACAGTGGTTCTGGGGCTCATTAAATACCAGAGACATGTTGTCCACATTTGTTATCTAACATTTGCCTCCATGTGTTATTAAATAATGTATGTGTACCAAATGCATTATTGAAGATGTTTAATACTGGAAGAATACCAGAGCAATACAGACTGTACATGATTAATGTCCCAGAAACAAACCTCAGGAAAATTGGTCAGTAGTTAGAGAAGCAAGTTTGCCTTGATAAAACATTTCACTGAGGAAAACAGTGACATTTCCATTAATTTCCAAGGGCTTGAGACCAGGTGAGGAATTGCAGGGAGGAGGTGTTGCTACTACATTTATAAATCCAAAGTTTATGTTACTCGGATGCAGTTGAGAGTGAATTTCTCCTCATCTTTTCCTCTCCAGTGATATTTTGTAAAAGCACAGAAGTAATCAGGACTGGAGATGCACCTGCACTTGTTTCAGACGAGGAAAAGCTTTCCAAGGCTGCTGAACATTTGCCCTGCTCTGATCCCACCGGGGTCAGTTTGAGAACAGGCTGCAGTCAGTGGTGGTGGAATCCTGGCAGCCTTGGGAAGTTTAAAAAAAGCCTGGCTTGGGTAAACACTGAGATGCTGAGAGTCATCATCCAGCCACGTGAAATCCTGGTGTGCTGTGATTTCTAATGGATTTGGAAAGCAAACTCTCAGATTTTTTTACAACTTAACAGGTATTTCCTTTAAGAAAACCAAAGGAGAAACACCCAACATCACCTTTTGCTTAAAAGCACACAGACTGCAGAGGCCACAAGAAGTTAGATCAGATAATGAATTCCCAGAACTGCCAGCAGCGTGTTGCATGTGAAGCTTTTGTTTCGTTCTGCTTCTCATGCCTTCCTTTGTGTTTGGATTTTGAGTGGGTTGCTGATGATGGATTTCGTGTTGCTGTGATGCTCTGGGCTGAGGGGTTGGCAGGTAACCTCCTGGGACTCGTTGTGGGATTGCTTTTCTGGGATCTCTTCTAGTTCTGTAACTGTTTCTGCTCTCCCCTAGGTGCGACCTCAAAGACGTACTGATTACCTGATGAGCCCAAAGAAAATCAGGAATGTGACACTCGTGTAGGATGAAAAGTTAAAACCAGTTCTCTCCATTTAAGTTATAAGTTATTCTTCTTTTTTGTTTTTTTTTTTTTTTCTCATGCAATGAAATAAAATTGCAACCTTTATAAGCAGCACGTGATATTGCAGCAAAATAATGGACATAAATGACATAAATAGACTGCCCTAGATTCCAAGACAATGAGTTTGATGGGACTGGGGAAGAAGAATCTGTGCTTTGAGTCCCAAGCAAATCAGCAAAACTCCTGCCAGACAGGAATGTTATGTTACAGCAAGATTAAGGACTGGAAATGCAAGATATTTATTATTTAATAATAATAATAATAATAATAATAATAATAATAATAATAATAATAATAATAATAATGGTTAATACAATATCTACACTTTTAAACACATTTTATGTGCAGCTGATCATCTTGAGCTTTCCGATCAACAACATTTTTTTATTCCTATCCTGTAATAAAATCAAGGGAAGTTTTAATGAGGGCTGCTCCAAAATTTCTAACAAAACTATATTTGGATCAGAAATAACATCTTTCCATTTCAAGACATTATTTTATAAGAAGGATTTGCTTTAAAATTCCATTTCAAAATAAAACCCAATCACCCATGTGCCAAAAAAATCCTTTTTTAAAAAAATTGAAATTCAAATATCCTAAGCTGAAAAATGTGGATTTGAAACTCTTGACTTTGAAGAGTTCTTGCTTGAATGTTTTATGTCTCTGTTCTACTTGTGGGCTGAGCTGTGTCCCAGCAATGGTGGCTTCTGGAATTCAGTTTGAACAGTGTTTTTTCCTCAGGGATAGAGTTGATAATGACCATGGGAAATGCACTTTAACAAAGCAACTTCTCAGCAGAGAAGATCCAGCACACGGACCATTCTAAAACTGATGAAATGTTTTGTCTGAAATGCTATATTTCATAATAAAACAGTTCAAGCTTATTATTTGAATTTTTTCTTTTACAAAAAGGCAAACTTCTTCCAGAAAAACACGTTATTTTCAGTGTGCTCTTCTTTCTTCCCACTCAAAGAACTCTGAATTATTCAGTGTGTCTCATGTTAATCTTTGGTACAAACTGGTGCAGGTGGTCTTGAAAGAAGCCCCTGCTTAGAATCCCTTCCAGTGACACGAAGCTGAGGAATTTGACACCTGAACTCAAGAAGGAGAAGTTGTTTTGCACATTTAGCATTTGGTATCTCCTTAACCCGTGCCATATTTTGTGCTGCTGGTGGCATTTTCAGCCAGTCTGTCAGAACAAGTTTAGGGTCTGCCACGTGCTGTTTGTACACAAAGCTGTTTCAAATTCTGATCATCCACTGCCTTTCTGTCTTATTTGCTTAAGGAGGAGCTTTGAAATGAATTTTATAATGCTACACAGACAAAAATATAAGCAATTTACATTGTGGCATGTTGAAATCGTCCTTGAAAATATCCTTATTTCGAATTAAACACTTGTATTGAAAAACATCTACGTAATTCTGATACAAGGATTCCTATTGCTGATAGCTATTTGTTACCACTGCAGCTGAATGCAACCTAAACACACAGAAAAATCCCCTATATTAGAGGAATGTGTAGTGCATGAGAGAGGGGGACCTGGGTTAACACCAGCCTGTGACTTGAGGGGATAAAAACCATGGAGCTTTGGCTTTCTGTTCATGTGCATTGTTAACAAGGCCTCCTGGTTGTCAGGAAAGTAAAAATAATCTGTAAACTGTACGGAGACAGTGGTTTCCCAATAGAAAGTGTTGATTCATTGGGATATATTTTGCAAAGGGATCAAGCTGTACTTTGTTCATCTCCAGGCCCTCATTTTCAACCTTAGCTTCGATATTATTTGGTGTCATAGCAAAGCAGCCAGCCTAGAACTGAACAAAACCTTTTCTCCACTTAATCTGCATCCTTCCACATTAATCAAAAACATTTCTGTGCTGATGCTGTGGGTGAGAGGACACAAACTTGAGACTGTGTCAGCAACAAGGAGATTTCTGTGCTGGGGAGTCCCCAGTGAGATTCCCAGGCTGTGCTTCCTGGTGCTCGAGGCTCTTCAGAGGACACCAGCAGTGCTCCCAAAATTGGTTTGCAGGCTGTGGCTGGGCCAAAGTGCTTCCTGATGAACGAACAGTCTGAGAGGAGAAGGTTGGAGACTTCATAGCAGCCTTCCAGTACCTGAAGAGGGGCTACAGGGAATCTGGGAAGGGAATCTGCTCCATCAGGAATTGTAGTGACAGGACAAGGGGGAACGGATTTAAACTGACAGCAGGGTTAGATGGGATATTGGGAAGGAATTCTTCCCCATGAGGATGGTGGGACACTTGGAACAGGTTTCCCAGAGCAGCCGTGGCTGCCCCTGAATCCCTGGAATGTTCAAGGCCAGGTTGGATGGGGCTTGGAGCCACCAGGGACAGTGGAAGGTGCCCCTGCCCATGGCAGGGGTGACACTGGATGATCTTTAAGGTCCCTTCAAACCCAAACCATTTCAGGATTCTAAACGAGGCTCCAAGCCTGGGAACCACATGGGAGCCCCTTCCCTGCTGCCAGCTCCAAGCTGTCCCAGTCAGACCAGGGACAGCCCTGACAGGTCACCCTCCAGCTGTGCATCCTGCCTGGCAGCTGGAACAAGGTGCCCTGCTCACCTGAGGCACCAGCAGGAAAATGCCTGTGAACATCCCACAGCAGCAGGAGGAATTAACACGCCCCTGATTGTGCCTCTCACCGACTCAAACAAAGCTTTTTGCACAAACAGGTCCCACAGCCATGGAAACGTGCACATTAACCAGAGTCTGGAGCTCTTCTCCCTCCCTGCCAGCTAAAAGAATTCATCCCACACAGCTATGGAACACTCCTAACAGCGTTGGCATGAGGTTAAAAAATTCTCATCGTGTCCTTGGGATTTATGCTCGGGGACATTTATTTCCTTCCAGATGTGTTTTCTTTGGGCGTGTTGTACAGCCTGTATATCATCTCCAGTACTAGCTGTTACTTATGTTTGCAAATAGAGCTCCACAAATAACAATACATAAAATACAGAGACCATTTTCAGCTCACAGGGAATATAAAATATACAGGCACTTTCAGAAGGCACAGTAGACTAAAAATATTGAATTTCAGGCACTTTATAGAGACACCAATCTTTTGTATGCATGCATATTGATTTATAATTATGACTTGAGGGACATTTTAGTAATCTAGAAGTATCCAGCGTTTTACAGCTCACAGACTGTGCACAGTTTGATAATATAAAACCCTTCCATGTTTCCTTACAAAATGTTCTAATTTGAATTCCGTGCTTGTATACATGGGAAAAAAATGCATTGAAGATAAACAGTATTTCATGCCACAGTAAGGTTTCCTAAACTTGTCTCACCAGTTTTGTATTTCACAGAAAATTCAGGCTACCTTTAATACAAAGCCACTTAAAAATAACACTTGGCTTCACAGGGAGGTTTCTTGTTTCAACAAAATGCACCTCAGGCTTGTGTGGGCTGAGTGGAATCAACAGATGAACTCTTACAGATGAGTACTCACAATATTGACTGAACATTTGGTTTCTTACTGATCTGATTGAACAGAGCCTCTATTTTCAATATTTATTTAGTAGAGTGTACGATATGTGGTGCTGCTAACCTAAAATGCAGCATTTTTGAGGATTTGGGCCTCCCAGTGACATAGATGGGAATAGCTCTTCAATTGCAGGGCTCACCATCCCTTTCCTCAAAAAGATGCTGCATGAGGCAGGAAAAACACAGCTTCCTGTCAAATTCCCCAGCAGTTTTCATGGAAAACTGGAATATGGGCTCTAACACTCCTTAAAATGTCAGAGAGAACTCATTTTCTCACCCCCTGCTCTCCACCCAAGCAGATCCTCCCCATCTAAAGTGGGGAAATGAGGCCCACCCCCAACTCTCCCTCTCTCTGAGTTTCTCTAAATCCCACGCCCACATTCCCAACAGCATCATAAAACTAATCCAGTGGCCTCATGGTAACTGTGTAAGTAAAATTAAGCAATCAGGATAGACCAAATATCAATATATCCAATATCATACCCATATGGGCTCATATTTCATGCTGTAATTAAACCTAACCCAGCTGTGCCAAGGGGAGAGCACAGCTCCCCAAAAACCTTTGGCATCTCAGTACTTTTCTTCCCAACAGCCTCCAAAACACCTCCTAAAGATGATGCTGAGCATTGAAATTCATAAAGCCACTTGATCTGGAGGAGCATGCACTCTGCAGATGTAACTTTTATGATTACTCTCCTCCCACTCACCACGATTGACTCTTGTTCCCCAGGCTATAAACTACCTGCCTCTTCCTCCCCCCAGGTGACAAGCAGTTTCATTTAAGTTTAACTTTCTCTGTCTCTCATTTTCCGCCCTCTTCCCCATCCTTTCTTCTCTGCAGCTCCCAAATACATTTCCTTTAAACAAAGGTCTAATTGATACATACCTAATTAACATCTGAGCGTTTGTTCTCAGCTTGTATTTAGCTCTGGAAATTGCTGCTTCTATTTCAGACCTGAATAAGGGCTTGCATACCTGAAGGTTTGCCTGATATTTCCAGCAATACCAGTTGATCCAATCAAGCACACACTGGTGGCTGTGTATTCCCATCATCCCATACACCAGGGCTTCAGGAGGACACTGTCCACACCTCAGTTGTCCTTCCTGAACTGCTGGTGGGGAAAAAAAGAGAAAGAAATGGAAGCCAAACCAGATGTGCATTAATATGTCTGCACCAAACCTCCTCAGCCAGCAGGAAAGTTCTCCATGTTGTTGTGAAGGTGGATTTTGACAGCAATGTTCTACATTGCTGCAGTTTGGAGCTCTGTGTGAGATTTCTGCCCTTCTGAATTCAGTTTTTTGAGAGGTGCAGGTTGGTATCAACTCCTTCCCATTTTCCTGGAAATAATGGGAATAATCCTGTGGATTATCTATACTAGATTAGCACAGNTCAGCCAGCAGGAAAGTTCTCCATGTTGTTGTGAAGGTGGATTTTGACAGCAATGTTCTACATTGCTGCAGTTTGGAGCTCTGTGTGAGATTTCTCTCAATCTGATCTTTGTTTTTTGAGAGGTGCAGGTTGGTATCAACTCCTTCCCATTTTCCTGGAAATAATGGGAATAATCCTGTGGATTATCTATACTAGATTAGCACAGATAGTTATTTAAATGATGCATATTTGCAGGCTCAGAGAATGCTGCAACTCCTTTCCAGCTCAGAGAATCAATGTTTGGGAGCTTCCAGCATCATTTGGCATTTAGCTCTGATAGCAGAGCTTGTGTCACACAGAATTTATATTGTTT